CAACACTGAATAAAATAATTAAGAGATTAACATGAGCATTAAATTTCAGAGTTCGCTTATCTAAGGAATTCAGTGGCATTCACAAAGAGGCCCCAAAAAGGTCACACTTAATCTAAGTGTTAATTTATAAAAGAAACTCTGAAGTCAGTAAATGAAGCAGGACTTTTGAATAACAAAGATTCTGTTCAAATCCCAGCTTGACCTCTGTCTCTTTTTATATCTGCCAAAAAGACAGAATATCTACTTGATCGGGTTGGGTGAAGAACCTACTAGAAAACATGGAGTTGTAGGCATTCCTTAAAGGAGGCTACTACTAGTCCATAAATGACAGAGCAAGGCGCTCAATCCTTTCGTATCATAGGAGCTTCGTACTCAAGTTAAGTCATTCTGTATCTCCTCATGCTATCATGTGTGAAGCACTGTTTCTCTTGTCTTATTACTATTAAAAATAATATAATAATAGGCAGTTGTGGAACCCCTAACCCTGAGGAGGATATGTTTAGGTGAGGAACAAGTAAGTATGGAAAGTTTAAGGTAATCTGGACTGTTCTAGGTATGTGATTTCCAAATAAAACTGACTTTTCACACTTGTATGTATCTGAAATTAATCAAAATGTTTTCAGTTTCCAAAAGTACCAATGTTTTCCTTGCACATTTTATTAACATAAGATGAAGTTTCCTATTTATGTTAGTTTACTACAATAAACATCTGGATGAAGTTATTACAACATCCAGATAAGATTTTATCCCTTTATTTTTGTGGGTGAACTCATTCCATAAACTTCTTCAAATACTCTGGATTCCCTTCAGATTGAACAAACTTCTTCAAGAAATTCTACTACCAGTGACATTTAAATTAGTATGGGCATTTGAGGTTTTATTTTTTAAAGTTTTAATTTTGCAAAAAAAATTTTATTAGTACATGTTTGAAGTACATGGTGATTGCATTCATTGTGAGGAGTTGAAACATTATATAACACATCTATTTATTATTTTAAAAAGAAAAAAGATAAAACCAATGAAGCAGTTTCAAAACAGTTAGTAGGAATGTTACAGTAATACAGTGTGTACTGTTGTCTTCATAGTAATTTTTCAGAGTACAAAACAGGAATGATACCTTGTACAAACAATATTAGCACAAAACATGAACTAAGAGATCTTAAATGATTTCACTGCCCTTCCCATTCCCATGTTCTTGCCCTGTTTTGTTTAACTTCAGGGGTGGGCATGGCACTGAACCTAGAAAATACTGAGCAGCATCCCAGTCCTCCCCCTTTTCCCCCTAAATTTTGATATGCAACCCTCTCTGAGTTGTCCAGAGTCAGTTCAAAACTTGTGATACTCCTGTTTCACCCTTTTGAGTGGCTGAGATTAGATGCATGTGCCACTGTTTGGCCACTTTAGTTTAATAATATCTTGAATCTATTTTTCTAAAAATCCTCTTATTAACATAAAGCTACATTGTCTGAAGAAAGTTACAAATTCATTTATAACTACATTTTGAGGGCTCCACTGCTTTATAGAGGTCAATTACTTCCTTTAATAGTAGAGATTAGGAGAAATTTAATTCTGTATTCTAAGCCAAAAGGAACTGACAAATTCGCCCAATAAAGTAAAATAAATAGCAGTAGCAACACATATTATCCCCACTGAACTGTATTGGCCAACAAAAAAATTGTTTTAAGTAGTCAGTTTTTCTAAAATCTTGGTAAATAAAAAGAAGTATTAATTATGGTTTCTCAGATACATAAAAAGGTAGTCATACTTGCTTATTGTTGTTCATTGCTGAGTGATATACCTAAAAATAGCAACTACAATCTTTACCACAAACCGTTTTCCTCTCAGTCTATGAAAAATTCAAACATTTCAATAACCTGAAAATAAATAAATATTTTTATATTATAAATGTCAAATATGATGGATATTTTATGAGAACATAATAGTATAGCTCAATTTTGCCTATTTTTAATTTTTGATCAGTGTTGATCACTATAGTTTTTAATCATATCTTTTAATCCATAAGTTATTTGTACAATGGATACATTCATAATTTAGTATAATTGTTCTTATTAAGATTCTATGCTAAATAACATTTTACCTACTTTGCTGTTTAGGAATTTCATGTCATAGGACATTTCTTTTGATTATGATTTTTCTAACATATAGTAAAATATTTAAAGTTGAAATATATAATTTATACTCTATTTTTATCATTTTGCACTTTAAGAGGCATATTTCTTTTAACTTGAACATTATTAGCACCTGTTTCATATAAACCCTACTGGCAAAACGTAAAATTTTGTTCCTACTATATTTTCATTCTATTGACCAAGGTTGAATATAAATAAATCTTCTATTCTTCCTACATTTATCATTTGGACCCTACATTCAGAGGTTTATGTTGTGCTTTGTTTCCCATCGCCAACCACTAAGACATTTAGAAAAATACCCATATGCATCTCTCCATAAACGTTCCACTTTGTGAAGACGCTACCCTGATCACGTTTAACCATTTTTTTTTTTTTTTTGGTGTCCCATCTCTCTTTCATACCAACCGCATTTTAATATATCACTTGACACATTCTGGTAAGTAACTGAAAATCTTCTAAAGAGAGTTCAGCATCCCCTTTCCCAGATTTAAACTAATCTTTAAATCACATATTATATTCTATATAATGATATGATAATGTGCTCTACGGTTTGATATGGTTATCTTTGTATGTATTTTAGGAATTAGTTATGTTATATATGCAATCTTGCAATCTTCTGAAAATGAGTTCAAGTAAACTCAAAGACCTAACTATATACTTGCTGATTCAAATGTTCTAGCAAAGACAAATTTTTCAAACACCTGCGGCATACTGTTATCCTATCATTAGATTCCAATATTATTATGTCCTTCAATTTTATTGAAAAAACTTCCAGAAATTATCAAGACCCTTCATAAATATTGACAAGAATGATATTTTACAGATTTGCCTTCAGAAAAAAAAATTTTAAAGCTAAATCATTTTGTTTTTGTTTATGGGCTTTGGTTTTCTTTAGATTTGATAACAACTACAATAAAAAAATCCACCTGATTTCAGATATTGTATAAAGACTGTAGAAAACAGTTATTTGTCTGATTCTTAGGAAAGTCACAAACAGCAACTGCCTATACCATGAGGCTGGAAGTGAAATCCATATGTAATGCCTCTGTCAGCAGATTTAGCAGAAAGAGGTTTATAATAAATATTCACATCTGCTGCTCTGGACACTCTAATCCATCCTAGGAATCTCTGCTGTGTCAGGCTTTGTTCTAGATGAAGAAGCCCAGTAGATATAAGGTTTGCAAATAGACCATATTTATCTTGGTTAGCTTCGCTTTTCTCTTTTTGGGAGAGATTCATGATGATATGGGGTATAATTTGTGATTAAATATTTCACTGTGGATTTTATGATACTTCCATACTCAAACTCCTATTATGAAATGGTAAATCCTGTTTTCCATGATATATCACTTAGCTAAGGTGGCCGGGAAGACAACGTTGATAACAGTGCTATATCAGATGTGGCAAACACAATGGCCAAAACCCAGGCTATGGATTTGAAGTGGTTATGATTAAAGTTTTACTATTTCCATGCCTAAGATGTCACTGTGATCAAGTTATTAGTCTCCCCAAACCTTTTTTTCTTCACCTACAGAATGGAGTTAGTTCTCCAGATCTTTAGAATGTGATAAAAAAATTTATGGAATCATTCATATCGACTACTAAATATCATATATTGTACGTTGAAAGAGTTTAATAGATGTTGAACACTGGATGAAAAATATGCCTTCTATGTGTGGTTCAATAACCCCATGGGTAGCAAAAATAATATTACAGTTACTTTCCCTAAGTACTGATCTTAAATGAACATGCTATTGGTTTTGTCTCTAAGTCTACTGATAGTTTACCACTGAACTTTTGAAATGATGATGATTATGAAATAAATTGCAGTTTTAATTTGTTTTCTCTTTGAAGAAATGATTCACTAAAATGATAGAGGGTATGGAAATTATAACAACCTGTACTATATTTAGCTATCATATACAACAAAAATTTAGTTGAATTTTGAATTTTAAGTTAGGATAAAAAGCCCATGACATGTCAGGCATGATGGCACATGGCCTATAATCCCAGGTATTGGGAAACTGAGGCAGAATCATTGCCATGAGTTTGAGGTGAGTCTGGACTACATAGTGAGATCAAAGTCAGCGTGAACTATTGAGAGAGACCCTTTCAAAAAAAAACCTACATCATTTTGAAACGATGGTATTTTATTTTTGCAACTCCAAAGAAAACTTGAGTTCATGAGTGTTACCATTTTATAGCAAAATTGCATATTTTTAGAATTTTAAATGATGATTACTATAACTATGATAAACAAGTTTAAAGAATACAGGTTTTAGGGGCTGGAGATTTAGCTCAGTAGCATAAGCGCCTGCCTTGCAAGCAGGCAGTTGTGAGTTCGATCCCTGGTACCGAAAAAAGACAAAAAAAAAAAAAATACAGATTTTAAAATATAAATTAAACATTATTTATACCTATAAAGTTATTTTCATAGATGAATCTTAAAAATTATGTCTTTGAAACTTTTTGCATGTTAATTTTAAGGACTTTCCTTGCTTCATTTCTTTCAATTTCATATTCTCAAAATGATTTATAAATCATAAATATAGGTAGAATGGAAGGCCATTTGGTGACCTCTACAAGGAAAGGATGCAGAAAGTTGTCTTTACCCTCCCATTCTAAAATTTTATATTTTAATCAATGATGTGTGTTGATTTTGATATAGATTATCTTTATATGAACAGGAACGAGCTAGTTCATATTTAATGTACTTAATGACTAACATATAACATAAAATGAGAATGTTGAATCACAAGTGAACCCAAACAGTGTTATGGTACATATAAACAATGCTTGAAATAAAACTTTGATTCTCTCTCTCTCTCTCTCTCTCTCTCTCTCTCTCAGGTCGAGTTTTAGCTCACGCGAGTGGCACTGGGGTGATTCATCTGCTAGATCTTAAATCAGGGAAGATTCACATCTTGGTGGGCCACCAGAGCGAGGCACACACGGTGGTGTTTTCTCATGATGGAGAGACTCTGTTTTCCGGAGGCGCTGACGGCACGGTTCGAATGTGGTCTTGACTCTGCGTCACCAGCATATCCCACTGCGGAGGGCATCCCTTTCAGTATGTCCTGGAGTTGCAAACCAGTAAACAACTAGTTAAACCCGCCAGTCGGTAACATTTACAGTGCTTTAAAATCATGCTTGGGGCATACATTTCAGTGTTCATACTGTTACCAATAAAAAAAAAATAACTTTTCCCTTTTTGTGTTTGGGTCTTTTTTTCTCTGTATGTCTCTCCTTTTTATATGAATTTAGAAACAGCATCTTCGCTAGGGGTTTGGAAGAAACAGCTTTACAATGACGCCTAATGACAGACTAGATGAATTACAGGAGATTGATTTTTTAATGTTAGAGAACAAACTGCAGGAAAACGCGGCTACTTTTTTTTTCTTTGAATCAAATCCAACCCGCAGGAGACCCAAAGTTTAATCATGTAGTAGAGAGAAAGACTTTCTGCAGCCAAAGGGTCAAACAGAATCGGGGAGCATACATCTTCACAAGTTCTTTGACGATGATTATGCTTTATCTATCAATAATAATCAAGGACTGCAGATGGCTTAAATCTAAATTCAAGTCATTTCTGGAACTTCCATCTCTGCAGCCCATCCAAGAATGCATTAGGTATAATTACAATTTTTAAAATTTCTGATTGTAATTTCAATGCAAATAAGTGTCTGTCGCGTAGAATGCTTTTTCTCTCCTGATGCACGCATCTGCTGTGTAAAGCGCGGACTGTCTGGAGAACACTCTAGCCTGGTCTAAAGAAGCAGAGAGGGGATTTCGACCAGGCTGGGCTCACAAGCCAGTTGTTGGCGCTGTCCGTGGTGCTGAGGAATTCCCGGCTGCCGGCAGAATGAGCTCCGCATCAGCAGTCTCCAAACTGCTCTCAGTGATGCAGAATCCCAGCTAAAGTTGCTCCTCTCCTTCATCTCCACAGTTCGCATTTTCTGGTATGCGAGATGCTGATGGTGCTGCCAGCGGAGCGGGATTTAGGCTACTGTGTGCTGTTGCTGTTGTGATCCTCTGATCCTGGCCAAATCACCTCTGCTGCCGTAGCAAACACCGTGTAAGTGAACTCATGTGGGGAGGAGGTGTAATCAGCCAGGAAATTTCATAGAAGGATCTAAGAAAATTCTAAAAATAAGTTCAACATGATTCTGCTACTGGGATCTGGATTTCTACAGGACCAGAATTGCTTCTTGCATTGAATGCTGAAGACAGGTCCGAAGCATATTTCTTATGTGTGTCTGCTGTGTTTCTCTCTGGAAGGGTGGGAGACTGCTTCTTGACTGTGTTTTGAAATGGGAAGTAGAGAGAATGGATTGCCTTTAATTCAAGCCTGAAAATGTATTCTTTGGTTGATTAAGGAAGAACTGCTTTTATAAAACATACCTGACCTTTTAGTTCATCTTGGTCTGTGACCCCCCCACTACCACCATCATTAACCTCCAGAGTGACTAGGTAAGTCCATCTTCTGATATGAGTTATGTTCATTTTCTCAAAGAAATAGATGCAGTCATTTTAAATCATATGTAGTAATGTGGGGAGGGGGGAAAGTTTAGCTGGAAAGTGAGCTTCAGTTCAGTAGTGTTAAAATCTTCATGTAACATATTATTTTATTACTATTTATTTTCTTAAACTGTGTCTTAAATTGCAGTCCAGCAGCACAGTCATGAAGAAAGCTGTATTAAAAATACCCTGAGAACTTTATTATATTAGAAAGAAATTCTTGTTTTCTTCACATGAACTTTAAACTGTATTTTGTATAATAAAAGCACTTTGGGTGTTTACATAAAGTGGGTATCACACCCTTGTTTTTACCTTTAAGTTTACCTTTATCATAACCTGCATGTTAATGCCTACCTGTGGCTTACAAAGAGATCGTTTTCTGTCTGTGTCCTCTGAAGCAGAATCATATGTGTATTTTATATGGCTTATCTTGCATGCATTGAGAGATTTACCTGAATACAATGAGGAGGTACAGTAGCTTCCTTTTGTTCCACGATAAACTTTCCAAATATGTGAGAGGGGTGAGAATGCATACTGTATTAATAAAATATATTTGTTTGTTCAGAAGCCACTATCATGTTTGTGGCCTCTGTAGTAATTTAGGGGGAAAAATGCTTTGTCAAAGGGAGCTTCCAGCTTCTCAAGTAGAATTATAGGTTTGCATTTTCTTGTTCTATCATGACTCATTTTTGACATATTTTAGGAGAAATCCATCTCCTTTATCATTACCTACTCAAAATGAATTCTAATAATAGGGAATGATAGAGGAATTCTAACACCAAATTTCTCTCTGAAAAGAAGACGTGAATATAGTACCATCCATTTTACTATTACAGGAACTAGCATACCCAACTTAAAATACAAATATAATGTAATAGTTTATGAAGTTTTCTAATGGCACCTTCACCCTTAAAGTGATCATCTCTGTATGTTAGACTAAACTAGGATAGTTTATCATGGCTCTCAATATATTCTGAAAATAAGCAATGAATAGACTGACATATCAGAAAATATCCTATATACAATTTTAGTGATTTTAGTATGATGCTGATACATTTAAACAAAGAAATGAAATAATTTGCAACACTTTTTCTTATCTACTACTCTCTGAAGTCACAGTTTCTCCTGAACCTTTGTGTGGCTTAGTCTAAATGTTTAAGTAGGAGCCCACTACTAACACTTCATACTGAGTACTGATAACATGTGGAGTTATAGGAATGAATGTAACCCAACTACTAAGGCATGTTTTCTATGAATGGCAATGGTTTATCACTGTTTGAGAGAACTTTCATAAAGTTTTGTGTGATACCTTTTCACAAATTACCTAAATAAATATGATATTGTTGGCATATCAAAAGAGTCATTTCACCTAAACTGTGTGAATGGTATTGATCTTATTTGGAAGTAATTAGTTCAAATAAACAATCTGTGAATACTAGATTAAATTTGCTACAAAAAATTCACAGATACATTTTTCCTGCCCACTAGGAGCTTACCTCTTGAGTAAAACAAAGATGTGGGCAACAAGCAAAATTAATATTTTTTGATAAACCCTTTTAAAATTTTGCATTCCTTTTTATTTAAATCTTGCTTCTCTTCTTTGTGGTGGAATATCTAAATGCTTTATTATTTGTTATGCTCCAAACTCTAGATCCTTGTTGACAGAAACAAGTCATTCATGTTAAGGCCATTGCATTTCTCCAGTCATAGGCATAAACAAGTAAGAAAGATTTATACTGGTACTCTCAATTAGAACTTATGTTGCAGTGTTGACTTATTCCTTTTCTTTTAGAATTGATTTTTCACAGATCTCTTGAGTTTTGATACAAATAATAATAACATAGTCATCACTCACTATTCTGCTTTAAAGAAAAATATTAATGAACTGTCAGTAACTATTTATAATCACCTTTTTAGACTCAGTAAAATCACTTCTCAGAATTTAGACAGAGTCAAATGTTTCAGATTCAAAATATAAAGCTGGAGGTTTGTATGAAAAACTATTCCACAGTGGACAAATTTTAATGTATATACTTCCAAGAATGCATTCTCCAAATTTCACAAAGAAGCATGAATTTAGTCTTTTTATTGTCTTAGTAGCTTCCAAATTGAACCCAAATAATTTAACATATTGGGTTTCAGTGAATCTCTATTCTCTTTGTATACGTCAAATTATTTCTTTAAATATTTGTTTTCAGCCTACCCTTCTTGTATTCCCATGGAAGGAGCTGAATATATTTAATATTAGGAGCACACCCAGAAGCCTTGGAGGAGGGGGATGGCTCTTCATATTCATGAAGCTTGCATACTCCTATTCGTCATCCCTGGATTGGTCTCCTCCGCTGCCATCAGTCATGAAGACTATCCTGCTGATGAAGGTGACCAGACCTCCAGTAATGACAATCTGATCTTTGATGACTATCGAGGGAAAGGGTGTGTGGATGACAGCGGCTTCGTATACAAGCTGGGAGAACGGTTTTTCCCTGGGCATTCCAACTGTCCCTGTGTCTGTGCTCTAGACGGACCTGTTTGTGACCAGCCAGATTGCCCCAAAATTCACCCAAAGTGTACTAAAGTGGAACACAATGGATGCTGCCCTGAGTGCAAAGAAGTGAAAAACTTTTGTGAATATCATGGGAAAAATTACAAAATCTTGGAGGAATTTAAGGTATGAGCTACCCTCCATATTTATTGAGTATTAAGTTTTCATATCACATGCTTAGTATTGCTATGTTAAAGTTGGAATGTTTTAACATTTCAATTTGCAGTATGATTCACATTAGTATAAGTAGTACCATGCTTAATAAATGGCCAATTGGTTTGTTAGAGTTTCACAATAACTTTTTTTTCCTTTAGAAATATTTTGGACATTCTTAATGTCTTTAATCTTTTTTTACTCCTAAACATTTCTTATGTGATACTATAAAACATTTGTAGTGGAGAATATTTTTGCTGGTAGGTTATATGCCTGTGAAAGTACTTTCAAGCTTTGTCATTTTTGCTGTTTGTGGCTGTTGGGCTACTTTTGGATCCATTTAACTACAGTTTTGCAGTATTTGTTTAGTGTGTAGAAATGTAAGTACTAGAGAGACACAGTCCTGAACTGTGATCTTCACAGTAAGAGGAAGGATTGGGCCTACTTTTAGAGTAGTGTGTCCACTCTACTCTGCCCACCTGGTTGTATACTTAGCCATCCTAAAAAGAACTAAAGTTTTATCAAATTCTCTTAAAAGAGGCTAATTTTTTTTTTACAACTGATGTGATATTCTTTAGGGCATTATTATTATTGTTGTTGTTTTTTATTTTCAAGTAGCTTGGAATTCATTTTATCTGTTCTTGGATTCTCTTTTCTCTAATGGCTAGTTTTAATTTAGAATGACCTACAAGCCAGATATGAATCCTAAGGGCATGAATTGATACATCAGAATACCCTCTTTAATTAAGATGGCAGTGAGGACCTAGGAGAATTTGTCAGGCTGATGGCTCCATAGAGGAGGTTTTCATTTCATCTGACCCAAGTTCTGTGACAAGGTGCTCAGGACCATATAAATAAAAGGAAAATGTAGCTAATTTTTGGTGTGATTTTCATGTTTGAGAGAAGAATGTCAGTGATTAATAATGATTCAATATTTCTTTCCACAAGAAGCAAATAGTGCCAGATGTCTAGAGATGAAAAACAAAAGGTTTTCCCTGGTCATCATTAGTTCTCTGTGTACTAGAACTTTATTGCATTCAACTCATTCTGGCTATGGGTTCAACCCAGTTCTGGCTTACCCAGGAATATCTCTTCATTTTAAGTGCATCCCTTTGAATATACGGGGAATTTGAACTGTATTTTACTACATCAACTTTGTTGGGTGTAAATGTTATTCTAGACTTCAACCTTTCATGTACTATAAAATTCTGACACACAGTATTAAGAATTAAAGAACTAGAGAGGCAAATACCATTAACATTATTGCTACCATGTAGTAGGTAAGAGGATACTATTCTGTTTTTACTAATAGCCTTATGATATCTAAAATATTTGATAGACTTTAATATTAACTCCTTTTACTTTGTTGAGTATCTGTACTTATTTTCATTTTACCTTCTGGTTAATGAAAATAAATACAGGTACACAACACATCATGATTTGTAGAACCCCATCTAGAGTTTGTGTCACTCTTTTCTAACACGCCTAATATAAACAGAATAGAATGAAAGAAAGGTATTATAGAAATACTGAGGTTTATATTACTTAGTAATCAGTATTTAATAAAGAAATTTTCTGACTATGTGAACTAGGTTAACTTAACACTTAGAAATGCTATAGTTTTCCTTCTAGTTATTAGATTTAATTCATTACAATGACAAGGACTACATTACCGTGTCAAGTACTATAAAGATATGTGAATGAAAAGTTGATAATTTCTGGTTCCCTATTAATCTTATGCCTACTATAATCTAACCCTAATGATCCATCCCTAACATTTAATCCATCAATGTGTGCATATTTTCCACCTGATTCTGTCGCATGAGACTTTTAAACATGAGAGATTAGAAAAAATATAAATACCACTTTGAAGAAGATTTAGTTATAAAGCACATTAGTGGTTAATAGAAAAAACTTGCAAAAATGAAGCAATAGAGACAAGAAAGTTTAAATCACTTGTCAAAAACCATCCAGTTTTTAACACATTTCTAAATGTTACTTTTTCTACTAAGAAAATTTGTTCAACTTTTCAAAGCAGTTTGGCTGTAAGATCAGATTCATTTGGATTCTAATCCTGAATTCATTGCTGAGATGTCAGGTTTTTGGATGGAGCCATAGTAGTTATGCCTATGAATTAGCCCATAATAATATTCACTTTTCTTGGGATACGGCATTAAAAATATATAATAAAATGTAATTTATGTGAGGTGAGTAACATTAAGATGGCTTACACATATTGAATAAATGATAACACTCTTCTAAACTGTTATATTCTAGAAGTATGTTCTAAATTCTTCTATAGTGTCTGATATATTTTACTTATTTATTTGGTACCAGGAATCAAACTTAGGAGCTTGAGTTTGCCAGGCAGGCATGTGTGCTGCTGAGCTATATCCTTGGCTACCTCTATTTGATGATGGAAGCTCAATTTAAAAGCCTTTCAAGTGAAGTAATTCTAGTATTTTAAAAATGATTTACTTGTCCATATGAACTATGTGACTCTAAATAAATATTAGCTGTGATGTTGGTTCTCTTGCTCCTCAGTTTGCAATGAAAAAGTAACTAATCTTTAAAAAGCTGTGGAACTCCCATACAAAAGTCTTGGTATGTTTTTGAAAAGGTTGTAATGTGAGATATTCTTTATGTACATTTATCCATAAGCATTTATTGGACTGTTTATTACACAAGATACTGTAGATGATTACAATAGAAAGTAGGATATCTTGAGAATCATTTCACAAGGCAGGCATGATTGATGTAGAGAGAGTAAGAGAAAAAATGGTCAAAAATTAAGTAAATAACTAGCAGGGCATGATGGTGCATGTGTGTAATCATAGCACTTGGGCTCAAGCAGGAGGATTACAGTGAGTTCAAATCCAACCTGAACTACAAAGAGAGAACTTGTCTCAAAAAAGCAACAAAAAATTATGTAAGGACTACAAAGTCCTAATAAAATTCCCGAGGGATTGCAGCATCACAAGCTTATGAACATGGTATGAAGCTTCCAAGCGAACTTTTGTCATTTTGATGGTCATAGTTAAGACTGTTCTTTAAGAAGTAATTAAATTTAACCTGAGGAGATTAAAATCCCAAGAGGTTGGGTGTGGTGGCCCATGCTGGTAATCCTAACACTTGGGAGGCTGAGGCAGGAGAATTTCAACCCGGTAGGAGTTCAAAGGCAACCTGGACTACACCTTGACACCTCATCTCAAAAAAACAATACTACTAGTAATTATAATAATAAATAGTAAATAAATAAATAATAAGGTTCCAAAGAGGAAACTGCTGGAGCCAAATCAGAAATGAGGATGGATGAAGCCTGTGAAGGATAGAGGGGTCTAACGTGGCAAACACGGGCCTCACTGAGAGGCTGCCCCGACCCTGAGGTAAACTCGGATGCCTTTGAATGGGCATGGATGGGAAAAACTAGACTACTGCGCTGAATATTTAATATCATATTTAATGTATTTTACTTCTTGCATAATAACAGGGAGTAAAATGCTAGTGGGTGCATATGGAGATGATTTAGCTAAGTAGGATTTTTTTCAAAGGTAGTTGTGCATCCAAGAATTAAAAAGAGATGACCAAAACTGAATAAGGGGATTTTTTTTTAAAGCATAGGTTGAAATGACCCACAGGCATGAAGATGGAGACTTTCAAGATGGCTTTCAAGATAAAAGATAAATTTCTAAACATGATCTAGAGTCCACTCAATGTCCTTTCCAAAGGACTCTCCATGACTTCCCTTTCCTGTGTGTTTGTAAACACCTTCTCAGGAGGTGGACACTTTTTAACATTGCTCATCTGCGTAACTCCTCCTACACTACAAGACTCCATTTCAATTTCCTCTCCACTACACCTCACCCCAACCTTCTAGACTGAGCCCCTCTTCTGTGTGTAAACAATGAACCCCCCTATAGAGCAAGAGAAGTAATTATAGCCAGTCACTGTTAAAAACTTTAGGTGCATTATTACACAAGCGTTTCATAATAACACTGTGAGATTGATACTTTATTAGTACTGCTTTACAGATAAGAGAAAAATTTTCAGAGTATAACTTCCCAATATCCATACAGACAGGAAGTAGGAAAGGTAGGCTTCCAACTCAGGCAGCCTTGCAGAGAAATCTAAGGGCTTCACCCCACTCGGGCTTCTGCACTGTCATCATACATACAATGTAAAGCCAGTTTGGGCTTCCACTAGAAACCACCCCTTTCTTCCATCAGAGTGAGCCCTTTGAGATGAAGGACAGTGTGTTTTTTCCTCCTCTATTTCCATCCTCCAGCACACTGTGAGCCACAAATAGGCATTCAGTGTATTTTCTGATCATTGGCATAACGGGTCAGATTATAATTGGACACATAGAAAAATCAGGTAGTTAAAGTTCCTTTGAAATGCCTTAGTTTCTGTTTATGTAACAGTCACTCAAATTTCAGTTAAAGAGTGCTCCTTAGGCAGCTGAACAGGGCACACACTGCTGTCTGCTGGAGCACGAATCCCCAGCCCTTGACTGCCCTCAGCTCTCTCTTCCAGCCCCTCCCCAGCCAAGACCAATCCAGGATGCAGCTCCCACCCAAAACTGCAATGACACTCAGGGTTTTAGTTGTGCTGCCTCAACCTAAATAGTTGCAAAACATGTGTCACCCTTCCATCCCTTCTGATTAGCAAATTCAAGTGTAAATTGACCTACATGTATTATCTGATGGAAAGAATAGTTTTGAGTTTTTTTGGTAAAGGTTGTGTGGATTTGTTTTCCACCTACTGATGCAAGCTTTGAGACTATCTTTCTCTTTACTCTTTTTTTGAAAACCAAATTCTCCAGGATTCTGGTAATATTGTGTTAAGATAAAGGTCACTGTATAGCAGGTTCTCTCATCTTCTTTTTTTATGTGTATCCGGGTGATATGACATCGGAGGCTATTTTTTTAAAGAAATAAATAATGAATTATTATAGCATTTCCTGCAAAAAATGT